CTCCAAAGAATCTTTTCAAGAACTCTCGATGAGGCGTTGACCTTTGGATCCATTCTAAGATTGTGATCTAAGTTGAGGTCTTCTTCAACAGTCCAAGCAAATTATACTCCTTCTTGTTTCTGACCACTTAGTAGCTTGGACTTCTTTTGAGTCTTAACGAGATTTTGTCACTGAAGGCAGTCTTGTGCACAATTGGTCTGTCCTTAATCTTTCATTAATTTGGGCCTGACGCCGGTAACATTTGGGTGGAGCCCTTCGGGATGTGGAAGCTTTACTTTTGAATTAAAATATTCCTTCAGATTGTGGCTGTACAGTTGATAGAGATTGATTTATGACTGATGATTAGGGATCAGTGGCAGAGTCGGCAGGGGAGCTATTACTATGAAATCAGAATGTGAGTAGGGTTGGGATAGTCAGCATATTAACTTGGCTTGGTAAGGTAGTAAGTGATAATAGCAAGCTATTGGTGGAAAAGTAATTGCTGCCGACTGCTAGCCTTTAGCTCTTGCTCGTCGGTCCTCAGGTAGTGGTGGAAAACACTGGGGAGCGTGTAACCTCGAATCTTTGACGACGAAGCTCCCTGAGAGTTTGGAGTCGCGAGTCATGGAAATCAACCAGTAGTTGTTGCATCGATCTCTGGGAACAAGGGTTGGTCGACCTTGCACGATGAACCGGTTGATTCGGCAAGTTATTCAATCTATGGGCTTAGAAGCCCAGGTTATCACTGGGTCGTTATTCAGCTCGAGTAGGCTTCCGGAGCAGGAGGAGAAGACCTAATATTTTAGTAGGAGTTGGAAGGGGGGGAGAGCCGTCACTCTATGACAACATTCTCCTAGTTCCATCCAACACCGCAGTTGCAGCTTCCTTCAAAGACTCCTCTACCTTGGCTTTATTGGGGGATGAAAGGTCGAACATAGAAACATCTTTATCGAGTCTTGTTGATCGACAATGCCCGGGCCGATCATCAAAGGTGGGCTGAACAGTAGTCAAGTCAAATTCATTCGAGGCTTTGAAGGGGTGGCTATTGATCCCGAAGCGGCAGGTCGAACGAAGTCAATTAGCTCCTAGGGCGGGGAATGAAAGAAATTTCATCGGATGGAAACGACTATTCTTACACTGGCTAATAACTTGATGACTCGGCTTTCGGTGGAGAACGAGGGGCTGGATATGAAAGATAGTCGCTCCCATAAACGAATGAATGGGACTCTTGGGGAATCGACAGAAAGAGATGGCTCGGATTCACTCGTCTTGAGGTGTTGAAAGACATAAAGAACAAAGGCTTACAGGTCTGGTCCCAGCAAATGGAGATGAAGGGACTAGCTACATTCACCAGCAGCTCAACTGGACAAATACATCTCTGAAGGCCCTTGCCCTTAACAGTAAAGAAAGTAGGACCTGACCTCTGTGAAGCGGTGAGGAATTAACAAGCTGTGGTGAACCAAATCAAAGACAGCTTGACAGTTGTCCCAGATACCCCCCTTACTCCATAGGCTTCTCCAGCAAGGGCAGGAAAAATATTCAGGCTCGTGCGGAGACGGCTTTTGACAGAGCCTTTAGAGAGAATAGGGGGGGACCTCTTTATTTAATGGAAAACTCAGTAGCGGGACGGTATTAGCCCTGCGTAGTCTTAGGTAGTTGGTCAGGTAAAAGCTGACCAAGCCAATGATGCTTAGCTAGTCAAACTGGGTCTCTTTCTTTTGGGTCCGGTATTGGGATTTCTCTAGTAGGTAGACAACTCGTTGATTGTTGGGAACTTTGTTTTTTTGATCGGGAAAACTGCCTCGCCTGCCAGATGCTCTTGCTATGACCGTCGACCGTCTTTATTTGGAAACTCATTTACGTTCTTACCTATCCTATCTTAGCTATTCTCTCGTATGTTAGTTAGAGACAGTAGTCAATCTACGCGGAGATCTTTTAATACGATGGCGACAACTAACTACGGCTATTTTAGGCCTATACAAAGGCCCCTCTCCTATTTGGTTGCCTCTCCTTTGATATGGAGGTGGCCGTTATTTAGGTTTGGGTTGTTTATCTGGTTTTTGGGATTTAAATATATATATATAAACTAGCGCCAGTGAAGGAAGCTCTCTGATTGCAGCATTGTGATTGCGTGGTCATGGTGTATCGATTACAGTTTCTCTATTTTGCTAGTGTGAAACCAGTCACTAAACAAACCCTCTCCTTAACAGCTGTTGGACATATTCTTTAACGAGTAGCTCGTAAGGTGTTATGAGAGGACGGAACTAAACCGTCTTTCTATAATCTACTGATCATTGCTATGGCACAATAGAGAAAATTGTTTTTTTCTATCTTTCAGGCATTCCTTCTCTATCTACGACCGAGGTAATTTCCTTGCTGGTACCAGGTAACAAATAAAGAAATAAAAGGCAGCTTGACCCCCTAAATAAAGAAAGAAATAAGTAGGCGTGTTTGGTTCTTCCCGTGGGTGACGGAGGAATCCAAGGTCCGGCCATTGCCATTGGTATAATAAGGTCTGGAAGCACCTTGTCGCCCACCTTTGTTGATGTCCGAAAGTAATATACATGGGCTTCTGAGAGGATTCTTTAATCAACCAAAACCTGCAACAGAGTCCTTAATTTCTACCATTCACAAGTTGAGAGATGTTCCATTCCTAATGGCAGAAGAAGGATGCAAGCTGGAAGGACTTGGACAAGATATTCTTCACTTAGACAGGAGATGCAGCGTCGGACCCTCTACATGGGTGTGCTATAAAACTAGGAGAAGAACTAAACGGATCAATTCCTTTGACCGGTCCTTTCGAGCTTCCAGTTCTTCTGGATTGCTAACGTGGTTCGATGACGCCGATGGAAGGAACCACTAGAAATTCATCCAACTTCGATCCCTTAAAGGCAAGTGCGTAGGCTATAGAATCCCAAATAGAGCTTCTTCGGCTCTAAACAGCTATTGTGCTTATTTGGTCTATCAGCTACTCGGCCAGCTACTGACCTAATTGGGAGCTTTTCAGTCAAGGTCATCGAATTTAAAGGTCTTTTCACAAGGATCCAGATCATTCCATTAGGGGGAAAGCAGGAGTGATCCATATATAGATGAATAGTACCAGTGGAGTCGGACGGTGCTAGTGCTCTCACTTATGGAAAAAGGGCTCCCGCATCAGAAATAAGAGCGACACCTCAACCAGCCACAGCCGCATTAGCAGTTCACGTGAAATCAGATGCTACTGATACCACTTTGTATTAGGTGTATCGCTTTGGGAGCTGCATTAGACCTAACCCCAGTTATCAATAACCCTAATTTAATCAACTTAGAGCCAGGAAGCTTAATTCAGGCAAAGGAGGTTATCGGGGAAGCAGCGGGCGGCATCAAAGCGAGTTGTGCCATGGAAATTCAGGAAATTGTAGAAGTCACAGTAGAGAGGGGCTTCGACCCCCTACTAGACCCGTAGAAGTGAGTAACCGCCTCTCGCTGGTTCTCTTTCCTTAGCCTCCCTTGCCTCTGGGTATCGGTGCCTCATTCTGTAACTCTCCTTCCGAAGAGATGATAGGTTTTCTTCGCTCCGTTTCTACCTTGTTATAAGCCCAGGTTTGGTGCCTCTCTCTTATAAATCTAGCGGTCGGTAAATAATAAAATGAATAAACCATTAAGCTCAATTATGAGTGAGAAATTAGTCCCTACGGTGATCTTTCTTATTCGTCTATTCCTCTTCTTATCGGTCTAGCAACCGATATGATAAGAGGTCTATTCTATGCTTTCATATCTTGTGTAATATGGGTTCTTGCATCTCTATTGTTAAGTTGTATCTTTGTAGTCAATACCGGTGGGAACGGGCCTCTTTCTTAAAGCCTGGTCATACTCGTTTTTATGTCTGGACTCCAGTTCAGAATGGGTAGCTTTCTTCGTTTCACTTCCTTGCCCTTATGAATTAGCATTAGTGTAATCGCTTTCTTTCCCTCTAAGGCGAGGGTGCTGTGTTACTTTCTTGATCACGAGTCACTGTGGTTACCTTCCCTTTCTTTCTCTCTAAGAGCTATCATTATAGACGCCTATGTTAGCTGGGTGAGTGAATGCTTTCCTGCTATCTGCCTTCTAAGAGGTTGCAGCCCTTCGAGTCAAAGTATGACCTGCTTGTAGTTGGTTTCGGCGGGATAGCTTAGTACGTAGTAACTTTGGGCTTTCTTTGATGGGTCCCTGGGGTACAAATGGGAGATGTAGATTAGGCAGCATTACCTGTTGGAGTTGTCGCGGACTGCTCCTTGCGCCAAGTCTCAACGTTACTTTAAAAGCTTCTTCCTATCTGTCCGCTGACCCAGTCCGTGTAGTAAAGCCTCTGCTTAGCTATCCTTTCGAAATGAGACTGATAAACTTACCAATAGAGTCAAGTCACCAAATATAAGCTGCATGGTCTCGTTCCACATGTAAATCTCCCCATCTGAACCCGGGTGGGCTCCGGCTTTCAATCTGAGGTATAAGCTTGCCCCAAGTCTCACTTTGAATTCGTGCTTTTACTAGATTTGACTTTGAAGTGTAACGCTCCTCTACATAGTTAGCAGCTACTTTTCTTCTTACTTCTGGAACCATAACAGGCTGGTGTATGTAAGCATCCTTGAATGCGGATGAGGAGCAACTTGGTACTATATTATATAGTATCGGTACCCCTGGTTAGAAATTGGAACTAGTTCTTATTGAAAAATCCTGTTTGTAGTTAAAGTGTGTGGACTGCTCCTTGGAAACGAGAACCTTGCCCCGAAGAAAGGAAGCGTGAGCTAATAACAGCACCCGAACGCCCTAGGTTTCACTCCTTAGCGGATCCTTGCTATCTGCATTCACCGAAGTAGATTCTGTTAGGTTCTTAGTAGCAACCTGCTTTAAGAAATGAGGCCTGCCCTCCATATAGTTCTTTATCATTGCAGCAAATGCGCGTTATCTGATGCGCGATATTCGCTACCTCTATCTATTCCTGCTTTACCTATAGGTACGAGAGTCAAGCTCCCAATCAACACTTCTTGAAAAAATAAATGAAGTTGTAAACCCCAACGACAAAGAAATCCATGCTATAATATAAGAAGGGCATTTTCGGGGACTAGCCTCCTTCCTTCTTACTTGGCTTCCAATTCTACTCTTTCTTCTTGAATTTGAATCACTTCATCTTTCTCACCATTCTTCTGTTTAAGAATTGCGCCCCACCCCCTATTTGAGTTTGAGTAAGGCTGGAAAAAAAGAGGTTCTTGCTTTATGAAACTTCAATCTTCTTTCTTCGATCGGAATACGGATGTGATCAAAAAGGCCATCATTGGGGCAAACGATGCAATAGCTTTGGTTAGAGTAAAGCCCAAAATGGCATAACCGAATGATTGTTTAGCCAATGATGGATTTCGCGCCACGGAATGAATCGAGGAACTAAGGACGTTTCCAATACCGACAGCAGCTCCCGCTGAAGCAATTGTAGCAGCCCCGGCACCCATTGATTTTGCACCTTCTAACATCTCGAGTTGAGAATTCTCGTCACGCTTTTTCATTCACTATTTTATGTTATAGATTCCTCGTCGATTCTTCCCCTCCTTCCTTTTCTCTTGGGCATCTCACTTGAAATGCAAAGCTTTCGATCTTGTACTAAAAAATTCGGTAAACTGAACACCACTCAATGAAAAAAAAGAAAACTACAACAAACAACCTCCGTGAACGGACACTTTCTCTTAGTTATAGTTCTATAACTATATAAATAAATATAACGAGAAAGCTTTTGTATTTTTTGTTTACCCTTATCGTGTTCTGGGCTACGCCCCCGAACTGGGACTACGAATTGATTGACTATTAAGTGCAACCCCGAAACTAGATAGACTATGGGTAGTTCAGGTGCGCTTAAAGTCTTATATAACGCATGCCGATGTTGCCACCGACAAACATTTTACTTGGACTATTTTATCTTACGTAGTAAGATCTTAGCCAAAGATATATATATATATATTATACCACATCTACATTCCGACTTCGAAATTCTGGAAGCGGAAGTGGCGCAGACCGCTGCCTTATGAGATCATAACACCGAAATATGAGACCATACTTATTAAACTTCATTAACTGGTCTTTTCTTTCGAGATGAAAACAAGCAGCAGGAGGGTCTAAGAACACCTCGATCGGTCGAGTAACGAGTGAACCCACCAACGGAGCTCAAGTTGTTCAGTCAGTAGCAAAGCGTCGTCGTCAAGTCTACGTGAAAGATCATCCATTAATCTTTCAACGTAACCCCAATTAGGGCAACAACTCTCAACGAGCATCCAACGCACCATTCCTATTGATAGCAATTCACCAGAAAGCCCTCTGGGAATCCCAACCAAACAGAAAAGGGCATCGAACAGATACCACTTGGGGAGTAGGCAACAAGTATGTGCCTAAACCAATGCTGATTATAATTCGGGTTAACATCTAAAGGCTTCATAGAATACCTTCGATATCCGACCCCCCGCAAATGCAGAGAACACTCTGAATATCTGTTACCCCTATTTGCTTAAGTACTGGCATAAGCGCAACCGGAAAACAGATGGATCTAATCATTTTAACAGAGATAGGTGATAGATCCTTTCCAGGTCCGCGGAATTTATTCGCGAACTCGAAATAACCCGTATCAGACACTAAGAATTTAGGTAATTAAAGCCCTAGGCAGAACCGATTGATATACTCGTCAGCTACTCGCGCATCCCCGATGACAAAATCATCACCGAGAAGCTAGTATTTGACAAATCTTCTGCCAGGGTAGACCGCATCCGCACTGAGCCACACAAGAATGTGGTGACATAATGAGAATAATGGCCAGGATGATAGGAAGCCCAAGGGTTGACCCGTTGTAAAACGGATAAACTTAAAGTAGCTTTCTGCTGAGTTAGGAGCCCGAAATCTATTTTACTTGTAATCCGAACTCAACCCAAGCATGGGCGACTACCTTGTTAAACAAACACTCGATCACTGTCCTCCGGAACTTAAGATAAGAGGAAAGCGGTAAGTTGCAGAAGATAAATCATAAGATCTTACCTTCATGTAACCCTTCAACCAGCGCAGAGGTGCCGGTTGATCGAAATTTCCATCTTGTGGGATTTTCCTTAAGATCGACATACACCAATCATGTGCGGGACGAAGTAGTGCCCGCTTTCATTTAAGGTGTTAGGAATAGCGAATACTCGCACCTTCCCAGCACCTTATTCCTTAAAACCCAGGCGACTAGTTGAATACATTGTCAGTAGATAGTCATCTGGAGGTCTCATACGGAATGCTGACATACAAAACAACTAACTATAAGTCAGCAGACTAGTATGAAACGCAAACGCCACTGATGAAGCGAACCTAGATTCAGTATTATGTAGTAATTGATTTACTGAATACTGGTAAGAAGCATCTTACTCAGAAAGAGAGTAAATCTCTCTAGAAGGAAAGAAATAGCTAAATACTGGAACAATGTATTGCTAGGATCATTCTAACATATCAATAGAAAAAGGGCCACGTTCGAATAAACGAAGCCTCCTCATCAGACCAAAATCCCAAAAGCGAGGCCTTGCCTTATCCTATAGAATAAGTCCCAGATCATCCTATGGAACGGTGATTTCTCACCCGACACATAACGATAGGGGATTGATGAAGCAGTCCAAATCGGAAACCATTTCAAACCAGTCGATAGAGGATTTGACTGGAATAAAGGTACATATCTACTGATAAGTGACACAATCTTCGTTCTCAACTCTTCAAGAAGAGAGTCGAAAGAAGCGTTAAGCTCTTGTGTAATCGAGTGAAACTGATAATTTTTTTTCTTCTTTACTAATATCAGTTTCGACAACGAAAACCCAGACAGATAAAATCTTACGAGTTTATCCGCTTTCTCATCTCTTCTTCTAAAGAGGGCACGATGAAACGAAGGAATGCATCTTGGAAGGCCACACCTAGTCAGAGATATAGGATAAGGCCTAAGGGTAGTTACTCTGACAATCTATATCCCATTTCAGAGTTCACATTGGAAGCATCAGGATCCGGCCGAAGGGTCCGTCGGCTCCGGCAGCATAGTACCTGCATCTGCTGGAAATAAGCCTTTTTGGTTTTGGGCATACCATCCTGAATCCTGCTTCTGCTCCTGACCTGGGCCAATGCACCACCCAAAACTTTCTGTGATTATCTACGCTATTTTTATTTGATGTTTTTTTGTTGTAATTTCGATTGTTGACTTGAACATAGGATTCCGAAGGTTAGTTTGTTAGTGGGGGTTTGGGGGGGACCATTTGATTCCTTGAAAGCTGAGTTGGAGGAAGACTCTGAGGCTCCCCAACCTCTTCCCCAGCAAGATCGGGAAAAACCGCCTTTTCGCCTTTAGATTAGAACCGGACTCGTTAAGATTGAGTATTGGCCAGGGCTCACACTAATGAGCATAGGAAAAGGAATCCAGGGAAATTGTTCGAACCACAGAACCTAATCTTTTTGTGCCCATTCTCCACGAGAAGCAACGGAAAAAGGGAATGGGCAAGTCTGAGTTTACAGCGTTCTAGTTCTAGTACCTGCTAAAGTTCACAACTAGTTCTGGAGCTAAGGAAAGAGAAAGCTCTGCCTCAAGCCTCCAGCAGTCAAAGAATGAAGTGAAGACAATGTCAAATGTCAATGGTAATCATCCCTATAATATGGGGAAACTTTGGTAGCAATCTAAGCAAGAAAGCAAGTCAAGCTTATTCGTCCTTTAGGAGCAAGCAAGAACAGCTACTATCTTGTTATCATATACTGCAGAGTAAGCAACACCAGCTACTCTCTCAATTGGTAACCTCTTTTCAACAGGGGAAAGTCGCTCCTACTTCTAGTCATACCTCTACTCTAGTTTGACCTCTTACCGATTCTAGTCCCCACCAGCCTTCCCTCCATCCAGTAAAAGAAGATGGATTAGCTCGTGCCTCTCCCAGTACTGAAAAAAAAAAGATCCTGTTCTTGCGCCAAGAATTGCTTTTAATACCTTTTTTTGGAGTATTTTATCTTAATCTGTCTTGGTGCTCAGATTGTATTACCTTTATTGATTATTGAGGATTTGTTTCTAAGTTAGGCTTTGGTTCAGGAGATGATAGAGCTATAGTATTCTCTCAACCAAGGTCTGAGGAATGGGAAATTCCTTAGTTTCAATGCTCAAGTAGTGATCTATTGCCGGGAGTATTCATTGAATATTTCATCATATAAGCAAACGACTGACGGCCTCGGAGGAGGGCTGACAATCTCCAGCTTAATCATTGTCTCGGCTTTCTAAAGCTCTATCACTGGCTTGACCCTCCTGGTAAGGGAGCTACCATCGAATACATTCTTTTCTGTCCTTCGAACTACTCTCTAAGCCCACGGGATTCTCAGGTTTCTCTATCCAGAATCCACCTACCCTAGCTACATTCAACTAAAAACTAGAATCGGTGAGTCCTAAGTACACTCACAGTGAGGTAAGGAAGTTCATAGCCAGTCCTAAACCTCAAGGGAAGAAGAAGCAAAGAGCAATCTAATTCTAAAAGCGCCTTCTATCTCTACCCTAAAAGTCATCTCTTTCTTCGCCTAAGCTCTTCCCTAGCAGCACTCTTCAATTAGCTACTTCACTCAGGCCTATCTTGTTCTAACCTTCCTACTAGGAAGGACATTATAACAACAAAGAACCTAGCTACTGGGCTACCATCCAAGAACAAGAACTACTAGCAGCTGGAGGGGCAGGATAGGCTAAGAAGGCAGGCAAGGACATCAACTACCTAACAGCGGAAAGACCGATTAGGGATATAATCCATTCTTTTCCTTCCTATCTTTTCTAACCATATAGTTAACAACCAAAGACGGAAAAAAATTATATTAGATAGGATAGAGTAAGACCTACGAGAAAGAGAAAAACTAGGAGAGGAATGCCAACAACAGCAGATAAGCAGAAGTGGAAACCTATTATATTTTATACGCATTGCAGCTCTTGGAGTCTAAGACTTCTAACTCTTTAGCCTCATTGGACTCAAGGACTTAGATGAGCTAACGGTAAGAATAAAAACCTGACTTTAGGAAGGAAGGGGAGAAAGGAAGAACTATCTAACTATTAGATGAATGAGAGTGATTATATGACTATCTTGATTCAACCAAAAGGCCCATAGGACCTATAATGGGGGAGTAGCTAAGGCTATCTAAACTCTCATTTAAATGCTTTAGAGAGGCCCCTTGAGGACAACTTCTTACAGGGTTTTCTTACTATATCATACTACTTTCGCTGGCCTTTGGACTGAAGAGAAAGGGCATTCTAGCCCCTCTCTCTCATAATAGAAGAGAGCAACTACAGGAACTCTCTTAACTTACTGCCTTAGCCATAGCTTCATACTAGCTACTAGGAGAGACTTCGATGCACTCACCTTAGAGAACTTATAGTTAGGTAAGGAAGGGAAGATACCATCCTAGAAGTGAAGCTACCATCCTACAGGTAAGATCTATCTCTTCTCCTGCCTTGCTCTAACCTTCAAGGAAAATGAAGGAGAAACTACAGGAAACTCTTAGACGCAAGGCTGCCTCACTCATATCACTGTACTAAAGGCAATCACAAACAAGAAGAGGTGAGTCCTTAGTACACTCCAAGTACAGGAAGGACACTTTAGCTACATATTACTCCCAAAGGAAAGAAGAAAGATCCAATCTAATCT